CTTTAACTGTACTCCCCACTTTCCTGTTTGATAGCGTTTCCACTGAAATATCATAGAGTCTATAATGACACCTCAGAGCCGATGAGCACAGCCAAATTTGAGTTTACCAGCTAAACTGTAACTGCAAGTTTATACTTTAGGTTTTGACCCAGCAGCAGTAGCTTCCTGAGACATGTGATATGAGGTCAGCGAGGCTAAAAGCCACATTTCCTCAGCTGGAGATGAACCGAGTGATAGAGAGCTGAGGAAGTGGAATCAGATCTGCAATAGGAAGTAAAGGAGGATGGGAGAAAACGTTTCTACTGGGGATTTGTTTATTTTCAGCTGATGAGAGAAGATAGTCAACTGACAGTAACCCTAAATAGCTTTATGTGATGGGAATGGGAAACAAAATCCCCAAAAGTTCTGAATGGCAGGTCTAGGTTTGTTTTTTACATCAGAGAGTACTCACAGATAAACACTTTATTTAAAATGATGTAGGGTTTGTTTGAGAATTGAAGGTACACATTAGGCAGGAGGTCCTCACCCACATAAGTTTGAACTTCACACAATTCATTTTCTAAATTATGGTGATCTTTATGTACCGGTGTGGACCTTTGATGGATCAGTTTATGACAGAAAAGTCTTTATTTTAAAGGAACCACAAAAGATTCAGTTGTGGTGTGAACCTAATAATTGCATTTTGGGTGTAAAATGGAGATTTCATTAGAGAGAAAAGTCAGCGCAGGTTGTCTCAGTAATGTTTTAATGTTTTTTGGTATTTTCCTAGTGCCACTAACAGAGACGAATGCCTTCTAAACTCTGAAAATAAATCACTAACCAGCTTCACGGTGGTTTGGTTGTGCTGCTCCTGGAGCCAAATGTTAATTTCCTTCCCTTTAATTATTTGGATCATAAACGCCTGACCAATTAGCCTGTCTCTTTTTGTTTCAGCACAACTTCTTGCACCAGAAGCACTTTCTTGCAATGCTGCCTTTGTACGAGCAGTACAATTGGAAGAACAAAAAAAAAAAAACCCTGCCCACTTGTATGAGCTGTTTCCATTAACTTTCAAAACTTATCTTCTTAAAAACTTTTCATACCTGAATGAAAGAGCCTTTTTAATAAAAGTGGCATGAGCCTTAAAATGTGAGAACTGTAGGGGTTATCTTTGAGCCATTTAATGTTTTTTGGCTCAAATTCACGTAAAAGCTAAAAAAAAAAAAAAAAAAGAGCTTTGGTCTAGACGAGTACATTCACTGGACAGCCAACAAAACAAAATGAAGAAGATAATGCTGCTCCAAATCCTGACTTTCACATGCAGGCCTGTCCAGTTAGTTTGAGAAATCAATTATTTAGAGTTTGCATCTATGTTAAATGTCGTCTACTTCATTAGTTGCACCTTGCTTAGTACTGGGTTGGACTCCCTTTTTGCCTTCAGAGCCGTCTTAATTCCTAATGGCACAGATTCAACAAGGTCCTGGAAACATTCTTCAGAGATTTTGGTCCATGTTGACATGACAGTTTTACATAGTCGCTGCAAATTTGTCAGCAGCACATCCATGATGTGAATCTCTGGTTCCTCCACGTCCCAAAAGTGCTTTGTTGGATTGAGATCTGGTGACTGTGGAGGCCGTTTGAGTACAGTGAACTCATTGTCATGTTCAAGAAACTAGTTTGAGATGATTTTGAGTTTTGTGACTCGGTGTGTTATACTGCTGGAAGCAAGATGCTACACTGTGGTCATAAAGGGATTAACATGGTCAACAACAATACTCAGGCAGGCTGTGGTGTTTAAACAATGCTCAGTTTGGCTCAAAGTGTGCCATGCATTCATGTTGTCTACACCAAATTGTTACCCTTCCATCTGAATGATGTAGTAAAAATGAGACCAGACAATACTTTTCCAACATTCTGGTTACTCTGTGTTAATCGCAGCCTCAGTTTGTTGTTTAAATGGAGTGGTACTTATACTTTTCTACTCTAGTTGAGCACTGAAAGTATTTTCTTACTACAAGTCTCATTCACACATTAATACAAGCATCTTTGTCTGTGTTTAAGCACTTTTAACTTTAATTTAACCGATTAACGCAGCTCTGGATTCAGTATCTGAGAACTAGAGTCTGTGTTAGCAGATGAACTGCTCCATCTCCTGAGCCACCCGGTGTGGTCTTCTGCTGCTATAGCCCACCTATAGCCCTTCAGAGATGCCCTTCTGCATTCCTTGGTTGGTGTATCAAGTGAAAACTAAAGGATTTTATTGAACAGAGATTCGTTTTTTGTCATTCTTTAATGACAACAGGACTGTAACCATTTCCCCATTATCTATTAATACAAATATTATTTATCTACCAACTGGCTTTAATCTACTACCCCTGTTACAATGACTTATTCATCACTTTAAGTTCTTAATTACCATTGTTTTAACTCTGTATTTAGATTTTTTAAAAATGTCTTTTATTGGCTAATTATTTTGTATTAACTATTTAATTCATTTAACACTATTTTTTTTAACTCAACATTTTTAAACCATTTGTCTTCTTTCTGTTGGATTTATTTGTCTTTGATCGGTTGAATATCTGTAGAAAAGACTTTCCACAGTGAGTACATCACTGCAGTTAAGAGCATGGAAACTGAATTTCAGCTCTGTGAGGGCGTGCCTGTTTGTGTTGTGGTGCCCCAACGCCTTTGGCTCGGCTGCTCCGTCTGAAGCTGTAAATCTTACAACTACACATGCTGTGATTTGTGTAAATAAACCAAATCCCACCGACAGACTCAGGAGGAATGTGTTCAAGTCCAACTGTGGAAACAGTTTGCAAGACTGAGGAAAATATGCACATTAACCCACCAGGTCTGGAGGTCACAAAGCAGAAATCGGCCTCGGCTCACACCGATCAGGGGCTCAGTGGAAAAGCCGGGCTGTAAAGTAACACATGTTTGGTTTGTCTTCTGAAGGCCTACCTGTTGTCATGAGTCAGGAAACTTGAGTCAGTGAGAAAAAGGTAGAGCTGTGTATGTTAAACCTGGAGTGAAAGCTGAGTAAATAAGCTAAGAGCGATCAAACAGGGGCAGGGATAGCTTTCTCACGCTCAGACTGAGGTGAGGCGCTCCTTTATCAGCACAGAAATTTCTTTTTGCACTGTGCCTTAAAGTTAGCTTAACACCATTAATGGAGACGTTTGGAGTGGAAATGTGGGACAATATTACATCTACAAAAAAAATATTCTTAGGAAATAAAAGGAAATAATTACATTTTCAGATAGTGAAATTTTCAAATATGTGATTACAGGCATGATAGTTGTATCACTGGCTTTGTTTCTGTCTCACTATGGGTACTTATACAGGAACTGTTTTATAGCTTTCTAGTAAGGGTTGTCCTTTGTAGCTTTCTTAGAGTGTACTTTGCCTGACAGCAAGCAAGCAGGGTGGTAAAAACACAATATAAAGACTTGTGACATCCTACAGCAGACTGATGCTGGTAGTGTTAGTATAACATCTCATCACGTTGTTAGGCCTCTTGCCCCTCCTGGAGCGGAGGCTATCGGCAGCTGCCCCTCAGCACTCTCAGTCCTGAGTTGCCTTTATCGCCCATCCCATCCCTGTTATGCTGATGTGTGTCCCAAGGGCTCGAGGTCAGGGACTGTTTTGTGTTGCTGGATGTCGGCTTTCTCAGGGTGTCCCGAGCCATCCCCACCTCCTACTTGAGATCTTTTCTTCCTGGACTGTTGCTCTGTCTGCTGCCAAAGTTGATTTTAATTCAACTTTTCTAGCCAGTTATCTGGGAAGTGTTAGAGCTGAAACTGTTGTATGAAAGTCTGGACTTTACCCAGGGAAGCATTTGTATACAGACTGACGTTTGGGTTGAACAAATGCAGCTTGGTGCACCAGACTTGGGGTCTTGCTGTTTCTGTTTCATGAAAAGAAATGAGAGGGGAATAAAACAAAAACTGAGTTTTGAAAGAAGCCCATAAGCCCACCTGAAACCCAAATCATCATTTCAGAGGCACTTTTAAGACATAAATGAAGCAGTGTGGCACAGAAAAGAAACATGTCTGTACAATCATTACTCACCTTCTTCTTTCCGCTTGTCCACGTTTGATTTTCCTCTGCAGCTTTTCTTTAAATGTTTTCCTTACCTCTAGCGCCCTCTTGTGGCTCTTTACCTAACACTAGGTTTTTCCCTCTCTTATCTGCTCCTCCTGAGAAACGATGACAATGTATTAACAGCAATGACTGTGCAAAAAGACCAATCTATAAATGATTAACAAAAACAGAAATAAATGTAAGGGCCAAGGATAGGTCACGAATCACCTGATGTTTATTTGCCACTGTCAGTCATTGCTGTATGGCTATAAAGATTTTTTTTGTAAATCTGCTATATGTGTATCAGATTGTTTTATTAGTTTGGTGTTGGACTCATGCTCAATTCTGATACAGTTTTTTGCTTTCTCATTTTATGACCAGAGTCCAAGGCAACCCTAAGAAAATATTTGATTTACAGCCTTGTTTACTTTCCATCAGATTTCATTCATGTGTTTCATCTCTGGATGTGCAAGAGAAAGTGTTTAAAAGGTGCTCATAGTAAAAAATAAATAAATAAATAAGAAACTTAACAATTAAGGAATACTTCGGGAGTTACAAGTCAGTCCTGCAAGTTGAAACTCGATGGGTCAGAAAAACATCACTTTTTGGGAATAGAAGTCAAGTCTTATTTCATTTTAAAGCTTTGAGTTATTCTTTTTTAATGTTTTTTAGTTTTCCAGAAAGGAAAAAAAACTAAATAAAATTTCACAACTGCTTATGCAATTCACCAAAACACCCAGAAAGCTCAAAACGATGAAATTTTATTTCTAAAAAATTATTATGTCCTATTGTAAACATAAGTAATTACATGCAAATTAATTTGAGTTGAGTTCATTTGTATTAAGTTTAATTAATTGGGTTTCACGTCACTTTGAAGAGTACCAAGAGAGAGTTGCTACACATAGAAACCAGAATAAAGCATCTTATTTTGAAAGTGTCGGCAGACGGAAGCGCTAAGGCGTACTGAGCTACCTCCTGGAGATAAAGTCGTCGTCACGGCCTTTAGTCACGCACTTGAAAGATGTCTGCAGGAAAGCAAGGAGACGCTCTGTGCTTCTTTATCAACGGGAAAAAGGTAGGTTTAGAGTTTTTTCTAATGTTATCATAGCGACCGTTTTGTTTTCTGACAGATAAAATCTGCACAGTTAGCAATTTCCGAGGTGACTTTTTACCTCGCGCTGCTGCTAGCAAAACTCTTAATATCATTTTTAGACAAGCACAGGTGAGTTAAAGCAAAAGCAGCAGTGCTGAGTAAAACGTTTGCAAGTTGGAGGTGTAATGACCTTCACACATGTTGCGAAGTGAACAAAAATGCAGGAAGAAGAAGACCTTAGGAAGCTGTCATCTATATTGGTTCTGAAAAGGTAAGGTGCAGAATAAGTGCAAGCACGCACAGGACTGCGCATATTCTTACGGGTTTGTAAAAGAGAAACAAAATGGGCATTAAAAAAACTGAATGCAGGCCAAGTTCTGCAAATCAAAGAGAAAACACCTGGCTGACTCACGCTGAGCGACAGTTTCTTTGTGTACCACACCGTTCAAACTTCTCCATCTTGGCCTCAAAACAAGATCCTGAGATTTCGGTGCAGGACTTTATGGCTCAGGGTGCTTTCACACGTGCGGTGTCAAGTCGTTTTTCCACCTCTTGCAGTGTATTTATGCAGGTGTGAACACAGTGATCGTTAGGTGTACATTACACATGTGAGCTAAAAACGTCCCATATGCGTTGTATTCTCAATGCATGGAGGCGCTTTAGATGTGCAAAGGTCTATAAGGGCTAGCAACCAGCTGTGAAAGGAACGTAAATCCTCAGTTTTCTCACACAGCGCCTTCATCCTGTTCTCACTTTCGTTGCTCCTGCCCCAAAACCATCCGGCCAATGAGCGGACTCGGTGTTCTCACGTGGTTTGTAGTGACGCAATTTGGTTGGCTTGGAGGTCACTTTTGTTTTCACACAGAGAAAAAATTAACCAAAAGCTACAAGTTTACAAACTCATCAGCTGATTAGGACCAGAGTAAACAAGCTACAGGTTTGAAAACGCCCTAACATACCTCAAGCTGGAAGGATGTGCAACCAAAGCACAGGTGCTCTTCAACGTTGTGTCAAGTCCAGTTCACACTTCTTATTTAGACACGTGTGCCCAACATCAGTCGTAGGTCGACTGGCAAGTAACGAGGTGGCCTGCAGAGAGGAGATCCAACATTAGAAGGCATGGTGCTCTACCAACAACCTTTACTCTGATGGTGGATTACAGGACGTCCAAGAAAAGTGGACAGGACGCCGTCTTCATCAGTGGTGCTGAGGTCGAGCAGGTAACAAGCTTGGAAATCCTTGAGGATCTGACGAGGTCTCTGTAAACCGCCTGTAAGATAAAGAAGTCCCTGAATCTATTCACCTCCTGAACAGGTCGTAACAGGTCAATACCTCTCCGACTTCTATTGTAACTAGGGCTGCCACGATTAGTCGACTAGTCACAATTACGTTGACTATCAAAATCGTCGACGACTAATTTAATAGTCGAGGCGAAGCTTTGTAAGATCACAAAAGACACAGGAATAAGTAGTAGGATTTAAGAGTGTAATAACGGACTGAAACAGAAGATGGCAGCACTGCATGTACAAGGATGCCAGCTGCCGTTAAACCCCGAAGAAGAAGACTGTGTCCCAGAATTCATAGCGCGCCCAGCTCAGTTTCCAACAATGGCGGCAGCTAGTTAGTTTTAATATTACTCTTATTATTCTTTCTGGGTCACAAAATAAACGTTTAACATATTTTCAGGCGAGAATGTAGCTGTGTAAACCTCAAATATCTGCTCAGTTTATCAAGACACCACATATTTTCAAAAGCGCTCCGACGTTTTCAGAGACGTCTGTTACCCACTAGCTCGATAGCGAGCCGGGGGCAAGGCTCACTACAGCCTGTGAGAACACCGGACTCCCGGCAGATCATTTTCAAACCCTCCGCTGTCTTTCGCTGCTCAGGTTAAACATGATATATAAGTCACTTAGATAACTTAAAAATGTTATTGTTTGGCTTTTTTTAGTATTAGTATTTTATTTGTTCCTGAGTAAATCGGTTTGGCTGAGATTAAAGTTATAGTTTTTACACAGCTGAATAAACGTCAAGCAGACAGCTGATTATCAGAAGTGTGAAATGTTAGAGAATATACTCCGGTGTCCTGTTATATTTTAGATAGCAAGGAGTTTAAACTTCACCGAGACAATCTGCAAATTTCATTAAAATTTAATAAACTATCATCTTGTCTTTATTTTTAGTTAGCACAGACCTTAAACACTTAAAGCTGTAAGCTAATGATAGTTATATAAGAGCAGATGCTGCTGGTGCAATAAGCTGTACGTTTTACGTCCAATTCGCAAAAATAATCTGTGACTAGTCGACTATCAGAATAATCGTTTGTGGCAGCCCTAATTGTAACCACCAGTGTGGTATTGCACCTGAACAAAGGGCTCTGCAGCAGGTAGTAAAAGCAGATGACTGCACTGTTGGCACCCAGCTGCCTGCCATCACCTGAAACGCTTCATTCAGTGTTCACGTAGCATGACCTCCGACCCCACTCACCCTCACAGTAGACTTTGGACAAATGAAATGAAATTCTCTTTTTAAACACTCAAAAAGAAACAAAAAGTAAAGAAAACTAATTAGAAATTGCAAAACTATAACTTCTCTGAGCTGCTGTTGGGTTGCCCATAAATTAGTGGTGCGGATTTCCTTGTGCTTGTATACTAACAATAAAGTGAATAATCTGAATAGTTTTTCACTAATGATGGCAACATTATAATGCTTTTAATGCAAGAAGTCATGTGACAGTAAAATACATCATGCTGACCCCTTATAGCTCAAAAACGAAAGCAAACTGAGTGATAATTGTAGAAATATCTAAGTTAGCTTAAATGTTTAGCCTATAACTAGATTTTAATTCTACTTTTAACAAGTCGAGCTTGGTGATTAATTTTATTTAATCATAAAAATGCACATTAATTTAAATGTCAAATGTAAACTTTCACAGTAAAGTGTCATCGGTGCAGTTCACAGTTACTGTTGCCCCTGATTACATCCATCCATGTTACACCTGTCTTATATATTATTGTTCTTCTTAGAGATAAAACTCTAACATAGAGCTGCGCGACAGAACGATATGTATTGCGAAATAACTTTTTCTCGATAGAAAAATGAAACTATTGCGATAGACCTCATCTCTCTCTCTCTTCCTCTCTTATAAAAACAAAATGAATAGCCAATACAAATTAAGTAGCGCAGAGCCGAACCAATCACAGCCGCAGCGTCACGTCACGTAACTTGTTACGTACAGCTCAAGTGCCAAGCCGCACATGTGTATTTGTTTGGGAAGCAGCCAGTCGCCATGCCGGCCGGGTAATGGAGGAAATGAGTGTGCCGACTAGGGATGGCACGATACCACTTTTTTTATGACCGATACGATATCATAAATTTGGATATCTGCCGATACCGATATAAATCCGATATATCTATTTTTTAAACTGTTTTTGTATAAGTTCAAAGTCAAATTTAAAAAGACAAAACACTAAAGCTATTCTCTTATACTTGCATGCAAGAAAAAGACTGCACCCAAAATATTGCTCACTTCAACAATGCATATCTCTTTATTTAAACTTTAGCACTGTTTAGCTGTCACCACTATCAAAATATCCATCCTGAAAGTGCGCAACATAATGCAGAACTTTAAATGTCGAAGTATTTAAAGTAACATTCATCAAAATAAAAGTGCAACTTTATAACAAATTTCAAAACCCCTTTGGTACTGAAAAAAGGTGCAATTTTAGCAGAGCAAACAACATTCTTGTAATAATGCAGTTGTAACTTTTTTTTTTCACTTTAACATGAGAGGTAGGTTCTTCTTCAGAAAGATCAACATTTCAACCTTCTCAGCTGTCAGCCTGCTTCTCCTTTCATTAATGATAATGGAGGCTGTACTGAAGAGTCTCTCACTCTCAATACTTGTGGTAGGTGCACAGAGAAATTTAGCTGCTGTAGAAACCAGAGTGGGAAATCTAAGTTTGTTGGCTTGCCAGTACAGCAGTGGATTATCTGAGCGTTGAATGGTTGGCTCACTAAGGTAAGTTTGCACTTCAATACGTGCACTTGTCGTGGCTAACTGAGGAACAGGATCTTGAGTGTTTTCCTTCAGGATTTCATCAAAAACACTTTCAAGTCTGCTTTGGCTGGAAGATTCCACCCGTGGAGTCTTCTTTGCTGGCTCCAAGACTGCTGATGTCCCCTCTGCTGGCTCTGAGGAGTTTAATGTAGTTCTCAAAAACTCCATCTTCCTCACCTCTGCCATCAAAGCATCCTTAGCTTGTTTTGAGGTTTCTATAAGATAAGATAACCTTTATTAGTCCCACACGTGGGAAATTTGTTTTGTCACAGCAGGAAGTGGACAGTGCAAAAGTTATGAGGCAAAAATTAGGATACAATAAGAATAAATACAGTACACAACTGTACAGAATAGAATAAAATACTATATACAGTAGAATACTCGTGAAGTACCTGAAATGAAAAAAGTCCAAACTTGAATATTAAACAATCATTAAATTTATCATTAGTAGCATTCAGCAGTGTGATTAAACTATCATTCCTCATTCTTGCTATTTATTCCATGCCCATTATAAAGACCTCAACATACTTTGCTGTACTACTCTGAATCAGACAATACATGTTATAATGCGCAATGGTGGTGTCCTGACTGAATGACAAGTCTATCACAACTAATCTAGAATGTCCTCACCATTTTCTGACACACTCTCTCTAATGCACTATCACTTACACACACACACACACACACACACACACACACACACACACACACACACACACACACACAAGTTGATCTGTTAAAATAACATGAGTGAAGCCTTACATACCTGTCTTTATATCTTGGATCCAGCAGTGTTGCAACTGTGTATAGTGGCTCGGATTCCACGTCTCTGAAGCGTCTGTTAACCGCTTCGAGAAGAGTGCCTTTCATTTTCTTTATTCCATCGTCGGCCTCATTTTCTCGGGAGAGCACGCGCTTAAGGACGCAGACAATAGGGATGACATCAGATGCAGATGAGGATGATGCGCTTACCTCCTTTGTTAACTCCTCAAAGGGAGCTAGAGCTGTCAGGACCTTTTCCAGTAACCCCCACTGCTGTGCACTAAGTGTGGCAGGCAGATCATACTCTGCAGAATATGCACACAAGGCTCGCTTCTGTTCTGTGAGGGTCTTGATCATATAATATGTGCTATTCCATCTTGTTCGCACATCTTGTATCAGACGTTTGGGTGACATGTTCAGCTCCATTTGAATGTCCTCCAAACGCGAATATGCCTGTGGTGAGTGTTTGAAGTGACCCACTATTTTTCTGCCCACTGTCACAGCATCACATACACCACGTTGTGCAAGCAGTCCCTCATTCACCACAAGTTGCAAAGTGTGGCGAAGCATCCCAAACTTGCAACACCTAGCCGGTCCATTGCCTTTTTTATATTGCTGGCATTGTCTCGCAAAACAACGTGGACTTTATTCTTCGGAATTTTCCACGCATTTAACATTTCCTCCATAGCTGCAGCGATGGACTCTCCTGTGTGTGAACCACGAAACTCTTTGGCCTGCAACACTGCTTTTTGCATTGTAAAACTCGAGTCTATCCAGTGTACAGTCAGGCTTAGCAGGGACAACGGACAAACGTCCGAGCTCCAGATATCAGTCGTCATGCTTAACGTGGGAATTATTTCCAAACTTTCGGAGATGAACTTGCGCACCTGTTTGTACTTGCCTGGGATAGCTTCCTCCGAGATGAAATGCCGGTTTGGCAGCATGTAGCGAGGCTCTAAATGCTCAATTAAGCGTCGAAAACCATCATTTTCCACAACGGAAAGGGGCTGGTCATCAAGCACAACAAATTCAACTATTTTCTCCGTTATCAGCTTCGCTCTATTGCTTTCCGGAGGGAATTTCTCACGTCTCTGAATATTTTCCAAAAGCGTTTGTTGATATGGTACACTTTTCTGCTTAGCTTTGGAGGCCAGGCTAAATTCCGGGTACTCCTTTGCGTGGTGTTTCTGTAAGTGTTTAATCATGTTTGTGGTGTTAAAATTCCCCACACTGCTACCACCCCGCGAAACACTTGCATCGCATAAGTTGCATTCGGCAGTCTTGCTTTTTTCGTCTTTTAGTTTGAAATAAATCCACACTGCTGACATGATGGCTCTGAGCTCTCCCACACGATAACCGCTGATCACGTGACGCATACTGCTCTGACGTGCCAAGGTCATGACCTGGGTTATACCATGTTAGCGAGTTTTTGAGGTGCTTTTGTGATATTCACTGGATCGGATAAGAAAAAAAAAAAAAAAATTTTTAAATTTCTCTCCGATATCCGATCCAGTAATTTACGTCAATATCGGACCGATACCGATACTGAATATCTGATTGGTCCATCTCTAGTGCCGACTAGAGGAAAAATCAACCGAGAGCTTGGGTGACCAGGTTACCAAAGAGAACACAGATGACGGTTCCAATGCCGGAGAGATTGTCGAAAGGAAAGGCCAGAGAAGTTCTGTAGTGTGGAGGTATTTCGGCTATTTGAAGTCTGACAAAAAACAGAGTAATGCCCACTGTAAATTGTCCCAAAAGCATGTTCCCACAAAGTCTGGAAATACAACAAACCTTTTTTATCACCTGAAGCAGTGCCACCCACTAAAGCACGCTCAATCTCTGACTGAAAGCGCTAATTCGTCATCGAAAACAACCAGGGGAATCCCTGCGAAGCAGCAACAGTCAATTGAGTCGGCTTTCTCCAGCGTCTTACCATATGACATAAAAGCTAAGAGACATAGCAACATAACGAATGCCATAGCTTACTGTCTTGCTAAAGACATGATACCAATAAACACGGTCGAAAAGGAAGGATTCAAGCAGCTAATTAAGGTACTGGATCCTCGTTACCAACTCCCTGGACATAAACATTTCTCTCAGACAGCGCTTCCAAAGCAATATTATATAAGTTAGTCAATTTTGTCTCTTCTGTAAAATAAACAAAGATTTATTTTTAGAATTAATATTTTATTTCTAAGTGGAACTGACAATTTAGTAGTCTGTTTTGTTCTATTTTGAAACTTAAATGCTTTAGCGGCTACCTTTTGTGTAGTTTGTAATATTTGCCTTTATTTTGCCTAAACTGAAGCCTCATTTTACGTACATCTGCCCTGTTTAACTTATGGGAAATAAATATTTAAATCAAAACAATCTGCTGATTATTTCACATTGTACTTGTGAGAAACAGCACATTTAAATCTTACATGTATAGTTATTTGGCTTATATCGTGATATATATCGTTATCGGAAAAAAACATCGCGATATGAAAAAAATCTTATATCGCCCAGCTCTACTCTAACATTAAACTGACCGTCATCTAAGCTGTAGGCAGCAGAAGAAACGTGCTGTACATTCAATCTGTTTAGTGCTTGACGTACCTCGTCACGTCTTCCACAGGCAGATGTGCCGATTACGTGCCCTCACTTGTTGCTTGTTTCTGATCAGATACACTGTAACAACTGCCCTTTGTCTCCTCTCGTCCGACACAAATGGAGTTTTCTATCTCTTAACTATCACTTAGATAGCAGGCAGTGATCCACATGTGACTTTGAACATGGTTAATAAAATATTCAAATCACACAGATTATGAAGTCTTACCAGTGGAGATTTTAGAAACAATTCGGTGTGTTCTCCTGGTGCCATATTGTCTTGGTTCTGGTGGGGTTTTATTTTATTTATTTATTTTTTTTAAATGCTTGAATGACTTGTAGGCTGGTGTTAAGTGGCTTCACAACCAAAAGAACATACTGGGAGTAGGTCGAGTGAAAAAGCGGTCAGTGTCCAAAGAAAAGCTTTGAAAGACCTTTAGAGAGCCAGGAGAAATATTGATCAAGAGTGCTTTAAAGTATTACAGGATAGTCTGGCTGCTTGGTGACAAAGTATAAAGAAATGAGGGCTGGCTCAAGACTTTTGCCCAGCACTGTATAAGCAAAATAAATGCAGATGTTAGAACTAATTTTCTTTGGTCCTGTTAAAACAGGTGACTGAGAACCATGCCGACCCGGAGACGATGCTGTTGGCCTTCCTCAGGCAGAAGAGTATCCTTCAGACCAGTTTTCAGTTCACCTTCGCTGTTTAAATGTTATTACTGGTGCTGTCAGCTGCGTTAAAACAGGCTAATCCGCGTTAATGCAGATTGGGCCCGTGTGAGGGTTACTCGGCATTAACGCGTTAATGCGGTTTAAACGCGTTAATGCTGTCATCACAACTAACGCGATTAACAATTAACCCATCTGGAGCGCAGACTGACTCAAAATCCCTGAAATGTCTCTGTCAACGCATTTCAGGCAGTTTGTCTGTTCTGTGCTCCAGATGGGTCGAGTGTGTTTTTAAAAAAAAAAAAAAAAAAAAATTTAATCGTGATGACCGTGTTAATGCTGACAGCCCTAGTTAATACCTTAGTTGTAAGCATTCGGTGGACTTGTCTTTATCCTTGACTGTTGACTTCAGTGAAATTAACTGGAACCAAGTACGGCTGCGGCGGAGGAGGCTGCGGAGCGTGCACAGTTATGGTGTCGCGCTACCAACCTGCAACGAAATCCATCATGTATCCTTCATGACGTCACACCACCTGATACTGCTGGGGGGTTTTTGTTTTTTTTCCCCATTTTTGGTCATTTTGTGGCTGTCTGTGCATATTTAATGCAAATATCAAAGTTTAAGATGAACTTTAAGATTCAGACTGCTCTAAATACTCAAGTTTTTTCCTACTTTTTAATCTGCACATTGGCTTTCAGTGTTTTTAGACCTTTTAGGGTCGCATAGAGACAGGGGCTTAAATGGCTTGTTTCAGGGGAAGAACTGAAGGACTCCTTAATGCGCCAGTATCAAATACATGAACTATGAATCATGCCACTGTAGAAGAGTCCATAAATATATAATCGAGGGGGGAAAAGTGAGTTCTGTGCTGTCAACCAACTTCACACGGTTTATGATTAATATGTGAGCAGCTAAAAGATGCCAGTGCAGTTGAACATCTACTGCTGTCAGTGTATGTTTCACTTGGGCACAACTTCAGCCTTAGGACTGGAAAAATCAATTTGTTTGGTCTGTCAGCCTCTTTAAGTGAAATTAGATTTGCAGAAAACAGGAGAGAGTGTAAGTGTTGGCTTGTAATGAGCAAGCCTGGTATGGATGACCACACTGAACTTGTTGGCCAATGGTCACTTCCCTCCCTGACAATGAAACAATACAGTCTATTTGACTCATTCACCTTCCTGTAGCTGAGGAGGAGATAATGGGACACACACTGAGAGGAATCTGAAACGATGTTGAACAGAGATTTTAAAAATGAAGGACAAAACCACCGAACAGTTTAAAGCTGTCTTGTTTAGGGGATTTTTTTTTATTTGATTTTTTTTTGCGCCACAATCAGCCTTATTACACAGTCTAAAGCAGTGGTGGGGAGCTCCAGGCCTCAAGGGTCGGTGTCCTATAGGTTTTAGGTATCGCCCTGAGTCAACACACCTGAATCAAATGATTAGTTCATTACCAGCTTCTGGTAAAATTCGAGACATGTTGAGGAGGTAATTTAGCCATTTGAATCAGCTCTGTTGGATCAAGGACGCGTCTAAAACCTGCAGGACAGCGACCTTTGAGGCCTGGAGTTGCACCACACCAGATCTTTAAAAAAAAAACAAAAAAAAAAACCCAGACATGGTGAGTATCATTTTGGTATTTTACTTGCGCACATTATCTTCACTGTGGCTGAAAAATTCCCTTCGTGGCACGCACGAGGGCTGTTCCTGCGTCGAGTAGAATCTCTGGATTAGTTTGGGGTTATATTCTTGAACGTTTCACCCTGCTTGTTTTGTTTCGTTTCACAACATGTCCTAGCTGTCAAAGAATCCTTCCACCAGCTCTGGCTCCGGTTTTGGATCCAAAAGTTAGTTTAGCTGGAGCTTGGCTCAGCTATGTTTATACTTAGTATCACAAACTATAATATATTTTCCTGTGACTAGTGCAGGTGGTGCTGAGACGATAGCAGGCAGAGTGGAAACACTGGTAATACTGGTCCACGTTGCATCACTTTAAAATAAAAGGTGCTGTACTTACTGCTAGTAGGTCTAACAGTAGCTGTGTGCACTGTAACAGATGAAGCCCCTCCCTGTGGATGCACAGTTGGGATGTTGACAGTAACATTTGGTTCGTCCTGAAGATGTGGGTTCGGGTTCAGGCTGCTCAATTAATCGAATTTTAATCACGATTACGATCTGGGCTTTCAACGATCATTAAAAATGACTGAGC